TCCATGAAGTGTTTGGTGTTTTGCAGAATTTTGTGGCTCACTGAAATACACTAGAGGAAACCAGAGTGGAAAGGCATAATGTGCTTGATAAAAAGATAAGTGTGGGGTGTTTTTAAGCATTTTTATTTCTGTTGATAATTTGGAATCACGAAAGGGAAATTAGAAGGTCTTGGCTCACAATTCATGCTCACCTTTTCTGTATTGGCACCTTCCTTTAAAAATTGCAGTCACTCCATCATTTATCACATTGATGATGATGATCAGGCAGTCTCTTGCAGAACCCATGTTTCTGCAGTGGATTTCTGCAGGAATGTAGTAGCACAGTGGCAGTGGTGGTTTTGGCATTCTTTGTGGTGCTGTAGGTACAGATTTGGTTTGTAAATTAAAGGTGTGTCACTATTGTTTGAGATTATAGTTTTTGGCTTTGCGATATGCTGTCCAAATGTCAAGTTTTACTGTGTTCTTTAACATTTGATGTGCATGTTCATTGTCTTACCAGCAGTTTTTTTCTTCCACTTGGCAGTCTTAGTAATGTGAATATCATTACATGTACTTCTGTATAATTATTTATGACACATCAAGATTAACGTATTTGTTTAAGTGTTTCTCTAGTGCAAAATAAGCCTAGGCAGTGAGTTGTGTTAGACATATCTGATCCATATAGATGTATGGTGAGATTAGACTTGTCCATTTAAGTCATAAGATGAAGCAGAACGGGAGGATCTGGTCCGCTGTTTATAATGTCCATGTTTCTGGAAAGTGTCCTGCTGCAGTGTCAGTTACAGTAGTCTTGAATTGGAATCTAATCTCAGAACATAATTACTGTCATTTATTTAATAAAATTTGATGTTACCTCCTGTATATGATCAAATCATACCCATTTCTACCGCAAACCTTAGGTTTTGTTTTATACTGTACATAACTATAGAGAAGAAGGAAAATGCTTTCTGATTGTAACATACTTCCAAAAATGTGTAACTGGTGAAAGCGATAAATTTTAAGATCACTCTTTGCTGTATAAAAAAAGCATCTAACGTAAGCTGTGCAGCTAGAATGCTGTCACTTGCTGGCAATGTAAGCTGTGCAGAATAGAATGTATTTGGCATATTGAAAGCTTACAGAAATGAATCTTTAATAGCCAGTTTCTTTTTGGTCCTGTAAGATAAGAATTAAAGTGCTATGCCTGATCTAAGCAACAGCAATTTAGCCCTCAATAAAACCTGAAATACAGTGTGATTTCATGTCATTTTTTTCACTGTGGGTGTTTTAGTGAGAAGAATATAAAGCAACTAAATGTGTATTGACAGCTAAAGTAATTTAGGATTAAAATGATGGCTGTTTCCTATAGTACAGTAAAGAATATTCCCGCAGATCAGCGGTAATGGTGAGATAAAGAACTGATTCTGGTTTTATGAAGGGCTTCACATCTCCTTGAAGTTAAGGGATTAGCAGAACTAGTGTAGATTTATAAATGAATTCTGTTATCTTAATGAGTTTTTAAAAAATGTTGAAGCATCTCTGGAGTTAAGTATGAGGTCGAAGAAGGGTTCTGGATGGGAGCTCTGGGAGCAGGGGTGGGGGAAAAGCTTAGAGCAAGAGCATTTTTGATATGTCTTATTGGGAACAAGTTAAATGTGTATTTCTGTCCATGGCACAAACTGAAATTTTGGCCACAATGAAATCACTGGAGTTATGTCATTGAGTGAGTTGTGAATTCAGAATTAATGTGGCATGTTTTATTCTAAAGTGAGTTGGAAAAATTATCTATGTGACATTTATATATGTAGGTATTCACGCAAGACTTTTTTTTTTTTTGAACTGAGGGTTTGGTTTTTTTTGTTTTAAATGCAGCTTCTAAATCTTTTATTAGTATACCTAAGGAAGTGGTAAGGATTTTGGAAATTAATGAATACCAATAAATGTAATCAGCTGAAGGAAGCTGATCTGCAATTTGTTCCATGAAATTTAACACTAGATTAGCAGGACTTCAAACTAATAAGACTTTTCATGTCCCATGACTGCTGCTGAAACATGCAATTAACTGAATATACAACCACATAAGCGTTCTATTTGTACAGATGAGTATCTGAAGCAACTGCTACTCTACGGAGATTACAATAAATAGCCTTCTGCTTTTTCTTCTAAAGAAGCAAAAAGTGGAAATGTTCAAGTGAAAACATGCTTTTACTTGTTAGCCATTTTTGTTCAAACAGAATATGCAGTTAGTGAATCACTTCATTCCTTTGAGGCAAACAAGTTTTCAGTTGAAATGAGCTGGAATGCTGCATGAAGAAAGAGAAGCTTTTTGACTCATTATCTGTAGTTCCAAACCTTGACAGACAGGGTACCAAAGAGCTCACTGGTGGTGATTTAGTGGGGTGGTGGGGAGCTTTTGTGTGCTGCAAGTTTCTATTTTCCAGCTGGTGCATTGCGAAAAGGAGAGGGCTGAAAGGTTAAGCACTTCAGAGCAAAGAACAGTTAATACAGCATCAGTATGAATTATGAATTCCAAGGACTACAGTTAGAGAAAAGTTTCCTTGGAACCAGATAACTTGTCAGGGAGGTGAAAAGGACAGTATAAAAACTAAGATTAGTGAGATCAGAGCTATGACATCTGAAAGAAAGTACTTGAAAGAGGACTACAACTGTTTGGCAGGCCAGAGGAGAGGAGTTATTTCTGGATTTGATGAATGCTGCACAGGTACAAATGCAGGAATGGAAGAGTGTTAATGTGGTTACAGTCTGGTCAAAATGAAAATGTGGACATCTCAATGCAAAACCTTTTGACAGCGGCCAATCAATGTATTTCTGAGAAATGCTGGTATTGTATATATCATGTTCCAGTATGTTCATGCTCTGAAGTATAACTCAACATTAGAAAGCTCTGCTGTACAATGAAGAATTGCAAAGCAATCCAAAGTTAGGAGTCTGGAGACGTTTGCTGCTACAGTGGGATTTTTTTTTTACAGAGGAAGCTCCTGTGAGTATAACTCTACACGAGGCTTCAGAATAAAGCTTGAAGATTGAAGCCAAAGTTT